CCAGGGTGCCCTGTGAGCATGGCATCGGCGAGCTTGCCAGGGTGCCCCGTGTGGGGGTAGATATTCACACTACTGCATGCTTGCAATGTCAGTGGATGTGATGAGTTCTTTCTGAAGGTGCCTTTGAATAACCGCCATGACCAAGCCCGGTGGTGCGTCTTGGCTGCCACCTTGGAGCCATCGCTGAGATCACAGGGCCATGGAACACTGGGACTCAAAGGGCCTTCGAGGTCTGCTAGTGTCCTTCCTTCATTTGGCAGATGAGGAAACTGAGGCTGGGCTTTGGAAGGGGAGAGGGTGCCACTGTGGCCATGCAGGTCTGCTGTGTGCAGAGGTGGGGTGAAGGGCAGAGGGAGCTGCCCTGGGGGGGGGCACGTGCCACTCTCTCCCCAGCCCATGATGCCCCTTTCACATGGGACATACAGATGAGACCAGCGGCTGGACCGTACCTCAGAGAGCATGAGGCACCGGGGGGCCCCTGGACTCCCTTGGCTGTGTTGGTCAGAGTCCTTGGAGCCCTGCTCTGGCACTGGAGACTGTCCCCACAGAGACCTCTTGGTGTGGGGGGGGTCCTTCCAAGAGGAAAGCTCACATGTAAATCACTAGGTTAGATGTGACATGGGAGACCCACGCTGATGACTGCCCAGATGGAAGGGGGAGGCCCCACAGACATCCTGGACAAGGGAGTGTCCGGGCTAAGCCTGGAAGGAGGCCAGAATCCACTAGGTAGAGGGCAGGAAGGCACAGTGTAAGCAGGGCGATGGGAAGTGGTGAGTGGCAGGGTTGGCCCAAAGGGTATCCAGAGAGAAGATAGGAAAGGCAGACTGAGGCCAGGTTGTGACAAGCTCTAAACAGGATTTTAGAGGTGATGGGAGCAGTCATTGAGATTTATTGAGTGGGCATCATAAGCCAGGCCCAGGCGAGCCTTTCCCTCACTTACTGGTGGCGTCTCAAATGCAATCATCCCGGTCCTTCCCAGTCTCCTTCACCGGATCTTTATCCAGGCAGTGCCCACTGACCACGTGTGCCCTCAAAGCTCTCTCCCACTTCACTCGGGCATCTCGATCATCTCCCTTTCCTGCCCCAACCTCTCTGCTGGCCTCCAAACGTGACTACGGGACGTCTCCAGCACAACGTGTCCCTCCCTGCCTTCTCGGGGATCCTTCCACTCCCTCCCCTTGTAACACGGCCTGTCATCCTCGATGGCCAACTCTCACTTGACCCCAACATCCACTTCGTTGCTAAGTCTTGAGTCTGCCTTTGAAACATCTCCCAAACATGCTCCCTTCCCTCCTCTGCCACTGCCACCCCTGGGGCAGGCCCTCATCTCCTCATCTCATGCTTGGACTATGGTAATATCTGCCGGGGAGGGGGGGCGGTGTGTGTCTGCTTGCCTTCCAACTCCCCCCATTCCATCCTCCACTCAGCGGCCAAAGGGATCTTCTGTAAGAGCGGCTCTTAGAGCCTTGTAAACCGCTCTGTTTGGCTTTCAGAGTCCTTCAGCACACAGCCCCCACCCCATCCTTTCCAGTCTTACCTCTTACCTCTCCTGCCTGCCAAAGTCTTCTCTTGCCCGAAACCAACCACACCATTCCAGAGGAAGTCTGCTTATCAGCCTAGTACTGGTCACTTTCTTTCTTAAAGCAACTTAGGATCAATCAACCATCTCTTAAGCACCTACTATGTGCCAGGCACTGTCCTAAGTGCTGAGGATACAAAAAGAGGCAGAAGACAGTCCCTGCCCTGGAGGAGCTTCCAATCTAATGCTCATGTGCAGGATAAACAGGGATAATGATCAGAAGGAAGGCCCTAGAATTAGGAGGGGTGGGGGGAGGCTTCCTGTCGAAGGGGGGTTTTAGTGGAGGGTTACAGGAAGTTGAGGTCAGGAACGGGAGCACCAGGTGCTCCAGGCAGGGAAGAGGGCCAGAGAGCATGCCTGGAGCGGAAAAGGAGGGTCTTGTTCTAGGCCAGAGTCGCACGCGCTTTGGGCACTGCCCTATCACGCCGCTGATGGGAGGCTGGCTTTCGGTGTCCCCCCCCCAACTCGTCTTGCAACCCCAGCCCCATCTTTCTCACCCCAGTCCACTTAGAACGTTCCCCTTCCCTTCTGGTCTTCAGGCATCTCTGGGACAGCCCCGTGGGCCTGTGGAGAAGGAATCTGCAGGGAAGGCTGGCCTCTCTCAGATCACCTGACTCTGGGAGTCTGTGGCTGTGCCTGTCTCTCCATGCATGTCATGCCGACTTTCTGGAGTCCACTTAGTGGTCCCTCCCAGCTTCGTGCCATCTGCAGTGCCGATTAAGGCGTGCTCACCAGAGCCAGCCATCGCTAAGTGTCTGTGGCCTGGAATAGGGCTCACGGCCCTGTCACGGATCTGCGACCTTCCCTCTACAGGTCCAATGTGTTGCAGACCAAGGACAGAAGCTTTCTGAAATTCTGCCGCTTTAGTCCTGACAACCACTATTGCCCTATCTTCCGGCTGGGCACTCTGGTCAGCTACACTGGGAATGACTTTCAGGAAATGGCCTTGGAGGTAATACCCCTTAAACAACCGTGCCTTCCCCAAGCAGCGGCTGTGAACCTGCTGCTGCAGGAGCGCGGTGAGCTCCCAGAGGCAGGTGCCTGGGGGAGCATCTGGGCCTTAGCCCAAGTTTCACGGACTCATCGTAACAGACACTTGGGCTGTCCCGTCCTGGGCCACCTATACCTACCTGGCCGACACCTCCTCGTGGGCTCTGTACCACCTGGCCTAAGGAGATGTTCCACACACACCTGGGCAATGCGAATCCGTGTCGCGTTACACCTGGAGCGCTGGCATACTTTGCATACACATCTGACACCTGTTCATACACACCTTGGGTCACACATCTGGACACATCTGGTAGTTGTGGGGTGGGGTGGCCAAGAGTAGGGAGGGGACCCCCAGGATGGCGTGCCTGCTCCCTCTTCCCCCTACCCCCCCAGGCCTAGCCGTGTCTTGTGTCCTGGAGTTCTGCCTGCCTCTCAATCTCTCTCTCTCTCAAGGGGGGGGTGATAGGAATTCAGATTGAATGGGACTGTGATCTGGACAGAGGTCCCTCAGCCTGTGAGCCTCAGTATTCCTTCAGGCGCCTAGACAACAGGTTTGCAGAGAAGTCTGTCTCTTCTGGATACAACTTCAGGTAAATGGGACTGCCCTGGGGGACAAGGCGTGTGGTCCCCCTGGTGGGTGTAAGGCAGGGCTCAGATGCCCCTTCTTGGGAACAGGGAGGGGTCCCTAGGAAGGGGGGGAGAAAATCGAGGACCCCCAGGGGTGCAGCTGGCCTCTCCAGGGAGCTCTGCAACAGAATCAGCACCCCCCCACCCCCGCCCAGCCTAAGCTAGCAGAAAGCCTGGGGTTCTGGTGCCAGGGTGGGCTCCATCACCCAGAGCCTCCCTGGCTGGCGGTGAATCAGGACTAGTGACTTCCTTCTTGGGATGACAGTGCTTAGAGACCCATGAATTAGCTTTTTGGGTGGGGATTGGGTCGACAGCCAGAACCTGGCATCAATGCCTCCTGTTTTGACCAGATTCGCTAAGTATTACCAAGATGCCAACGGGGAGGAGTTCCGCACACTGATGAAGGTCTACGGGATCCGCTTTGATGTGCTGGTGAATGGCAAGGTGCGTGGCCACGGGCTCTCCCACACTCGAGCTGGGACAGGGCATGTGCCCTCTGTACCCCGAGCCTGACTGTCCCCACCAAAGGCTCCTTTGGACTCTTTCAGGCTGGGAAATTCAACATCATCCCCATGGTCATCAACGTGGGCACAAGCGTGGCTCTCATGGGTGCTGTGAGTACCCAGCCCAGCCCCCTCCTCTCCCTCCTGCCAGGGCCGCCTGAGTGGCCAGACTCTGGAGCCCCGAGGCAGGTCCCCACCGGCCAAGAAGAGGAGACGGCTTCTTTCTTCCCCCCATTCCCCCAGGCAGCCCTGGGGGCTCAGCTCTTGGTGCTGGGCCTGGGCTGTAGTTTCTGTGAGGTCGGGATTCTTGAGGTGGGAGAGATCTAAGGGGCTGGCTGCCAGGAGGCTCCGGGGTGTGGGAAAAGGCCCTTGGACGAGCTAAAAGCAGAGGACAGACTCGGGGAGGGCAGGGATCCCCCAGGGAGGTCCCGAGCTGACATCACTGGCTGTTTTTTAGGGGGCTTTCTTCTGCGACTTAGTGCTCATCTACCTGATCAAAAAAAGCCACTTCTATCGAGAAAAGAAATACGAACAAGTGAGGTGAGCTGCCCGTCCGTCCCCTGCGGGCCTCCTCCTCTCTGCTGCCCTGCATTCAGCACCACTGGGTGTCTGCCAAGCCAGAGGCTGACGGGGCAGACCGGCCGCAGGCCAGGGACGAGACCCTCCTTGGCTCCCAGTGACCTGTTTCAGGGAGATGCCTCCCTGGCCTAAGGTCTCATGGTGACGGCTCCTCTCCTTCATTTTTCCCCACAGGTTAAGCTCACAAAAATTCCTGCCTAGGTGCCTGGTAAATGGGAAGCAGGACTCAGGCCTCCCAACTGGAGAGGAGCCCCTAGGGCAAGTCCAGACGGTGGAGAAGTAGTTGGAGCCTCTCTCCTGAGAGTGGCTTGGGCAGCGCCCCTGCCACAAAGGAGAATGGGAAGGGCCTCAGCCAGTACAGGGCACACACGGAGTCTACTGCCCCAAACCCGTCCCACTCTCCAGAACCCTCCCGTGGATCTGACAGTCACAGCGTCTTGTCAGCAGCCAGCGCCTGCCCTCTGGAGGGGTCAGCCACCCTGGACAAACAATGGACGTTTTAGAAATCATTGGGGAAGGTGGGGAAGACGCAAGCTCACCGAGGGGGCCACCCCATCTCCTTCCTCTTGTTGCCAAGCGGGGCTGAGGGAACCCACAACATGCTGGGAGCAGTGCCTGGGCCCCCCGGGGCTGCAGGAGCACCCTCCACACTTCCCCTGCCCCGCTGAAGAGGGAACTGAGTCAGGGCGACCCAGGGGGCTCTTAGCTGGGGCAGCGCCACCCGGGGGTAGACACGTCTTGCTGATGCATGGGTCTGTCAGAAGCAGGAGGGGCCGCCGTTCTGCCTGGCTGTCTGGGGGTGTCTCAGGCAGCTGAGCAAGTTCCCATCTTTTTGGCGGTGCTTTAGGTGAAATTTGCTGGGTAGAGGCAACTTGCGCAATTTAGAACCTTTCTGCTCATGCCCTGGACCAGAAACTTAGAATTCAGTTCAGGTGTTGGTGAGGCTTGAGGAAGTGCTCTGCAAACATTCCTACCCAGCTTGTGGGGCCAGTGAGGGAAGTCCCGTCCTCCCACAAGGCCTCTGGAGCGAGGCCCCAGGTTGGGCTGGCGGGGGCCCCGCTCTTCAGTCGGCCAACCTCACTCTGAGGCCCCTGACACAGGCAGCCCTCGTCTCAAGGAGCGACACGGGGACCTTCCTCCAAGTCCTTAGAGGGGACAGGTGCCTGGGGGTGAGGGCAGAGCATTTCTAAACAGGCGTCGGTCTGCTCAGAGGCATCTTGGAGGATCGTCTCTGGAGCTTGCGGAGCTGACAGACACGGCCCCACTTGTGACTTCTGACGTCTGGGGCTCGCGCCAGCCATTCACGGCAACGCTAACTTTTATACAATCACGCTTAATAAAACGCCTTGTAACCCACGAGAAATGGGAACAAAGATGTGAGTCTGGTCTCCCTTCCAAAATAGGACAAGTCACTCAAACCTCTTTGGGCCTCAGAAAAGGACAAGGTGACTCCAAGGTCACCGGCGCTCAGGCTCTCGGGCTCTGATTGCCTCGTCCATTCCTCCAAGATCGCGGATGGCCACCGTGGGTGGGAACGACGCTCCGCAGGCTCTTCCCTTTGCCTCCTGACACATTCGGGTCTCCCTTCCCTTGACCTCCTTGCCCACCTTCCCCCCGTCCTCGGTCACCGGGCTGGGCCATCGGCCAAGGTTTCCGAAGGCTGTGCCGAGCAGACCTTCAGAGGGTCCAGCCTCGAGGGTGTCTACCCCCCAGCTCTTGGGCCCCTCGTCCGTCCGTGTCCGTGCCCCACACGTCGGCCTCAGCGGAGGACGCGTTGCCTCATCCTGCCTTCTTTAGGAGCCTTCTCTGGTCTAGCCGTTGGCATTCCTCCCTCTTGGGAGCTGAGCTGCCCATCAGGATGAGGAATCCTCTCTCCCTCTCCCATACCCACCGCTTGTTGTCCTGACAGCTCTCGTGTCCTCACTGCGGGGGGCCGGCGCAGATTGTGCCTTTGTGAACAAGGCCGTCTCGCTCGGGGCCCAAAGGCCTCTGCCATCTCCCCCCGGCACTCCTAGTCAAGCATCTGCTAGCAACCCCAAGTGGCCCTAGCTGTACAAAGACAGCTTCACCTTCAAAAGCACCCGACTCAGTGGCTGGGCTTCTCCCCTGCTCTTCACCCTTGCTCCAGTTTATACCAGGGAAAGCGTCCCAGCAGACAGAAAAAGAGGCAGAGGGAGGTATGGGTGAAGCTGGGGAGAGGGAGATGGCCCATGTTCCAGGGGAAGCTCCCAGAGGCCAGGCAGGGCCTGCTGGGCACCGAGCACGACCAGGCTGGGCAGCAGCCATGATCCTCTATGTGGGAGGTGACCTGGGAGGGAGGACGGGAGAGAAGCCTGAGGCATTCTCCCTCCAAATGTCTATCTAGCTTAGTTTTCTTTCCTAACAAGGGCAGACGGTGGAGCACGTATGACCCGCAGAGCCCCCGCGTCCGTCCGAGGGAGGCCGACGAAGGCTGGGCCAGGGCTGGGCTCTGGGCTTTGGAAAGATGCCCTGACCAAGGGGCTCCCCAAGGCTTAGAGGAGGCATTGCTCCTCGTGGGTTATCTCTGCCACTGGCAGAAGAGAATCCCTAACAGAGTGTGCACAAAGCAGAAAACAATGCACGCCACGTTTCACATCTGATTTAATCTGCGGACTCTCACCAGAGATCTCTCTCCCAACATAAGTTACTAATAATATTAACAGCACAAACAGTCAATTCCCTTGGAAAACTAGCAGACCACATCTTGTTAACCCCAGCAAGAGTCTTTCTGCGCACGCCGACCCCCTTTCCCTCAGTAGACGTGCACCATGCCATACAGGAAAGTCCAGAAAAGGACGTAGGTGAAGAGCCCCCCAACAAGGCCCCCAGTAAAGAGCGGTCGCCTGGATTTGAAATACTTGTTCCATCGTCTTCCGGCCTTGAGGGCTAGGAGCAGAGAGAGGAGGGTGGACGCCAGGAAATAGAAGACGAAGCCGTAGAAGCCGGTCAGGCCCAGGATACCCGCTGTAGCCCCGGAGAGGGCCGACACGGATGTCCTGCAATAGTCCAGAACGGCGGCGTTCCCGCGGACGGCAGCCTCGCTAATGAAGGGGGGCCCGTCGCGCTTGGTGGCCGTGGCGGCCATGGCTCTCCCTGACGCTCCCCTGGGTGGCACTGGGGGCAGAGCAGAAGAAAGCCAAGTTCCCAAGGTTCCTTTTCCATGTACTCGTCAGCTATGGGTCAGTGGGGCTGGGGTTGTCTTTAGGGAGCGAGAGAGGGTCTTTCTAGGCTAGACTGAAATGGAGAAGCTTTGACTGAACCACAGGACTGACCTTCGGTCCCCTGGAGACGTCCGACAGGACTGCTGGACAGCACCGTGAATCATCCCCCCCCCCCCCCCGCAGTGTTCTGTGGCCAGGGGCGGGGGGGCCACAGACAGACGGTGAGGTGGCGATGGAGATCAGCCGGCCTCCCCTCCCCATTTTACAGATGAGGAGACTGAGGAAAACAGAGGTGGCCACGGCCACACACAGAGAGCAGCTCCCGCAGGTACTGGGCCAGGAGGGAAGGGCGGGCAAAATTACTGGGTGATCGAGCTGCCACGTCCACAAGGGGCGTGAGGGGCTGCTGAGGAATGCCAGGAGGGGGCTGGGGGAGGCCCCCAAACCTCCTTCCCTCGTGTCTAGCTGCTCTGATCAGCCCCTTCTCTGTGCCAGGCCCGGGCTGGAGGCGCCCAGGCCCGGGGTGGGGGAGGGGAGGGGGCAGGAGTGCCCCGGTTCTGGCCTGAGGGGGTGCCCCCCAAGTGCCAGGTCCGCGCCACCCCCCACCGGTGCTGCTAAATGCGGGGGGGGGGGGCACGTAGGACCCTAACCCAAAGAGGTGGCGGGGGCGGGGCGGGGCCCAGCCTCACTAGAGGCTTGGCTCTGGAGGCAGGGAGAGACCCTGACCCCTGACCCCTGACCCCAGGCCGGCTGGGTCACGGGTCCCTGGGGAGGGAGGGGCCCCGTAGGGTCCCCAGGGTCGTACCTGGCCTGGGTAGCGGCGGCAACGGTGACCGCGTCGTTCCCTCAGCAGGGCGGAGACGACGGCGACCGCACGGACGCCATCTTGGCCCTGAGGCTGCCGGGAGAAGAGAAGCGGTCAGGGCGCATGCGCAGACTCATGCGCGTCCCCGCCGCCCGGCTGCTGCCCCGTTGCGCATGCTCTGTGACGCTTGCTGAGAGGCGGAGCCCGGGAAGGGCGGTCCCCTCGGTGATTGGCTGCGGCGCTCATGCATGATTCATGAGGGGCGGGGCCGCCCGAGCCCTTTTGTTCTGAGGGTGGGGCTGGGTGGGATCGGAGCCGCAGCCAAGATGTCCTACGTGCCTGGACAGCCGGTCACCGCGGTGGTGGTGAGTGTGGGCTCCGGGGGTCCGGGGGTCCCCGCCGCGAAGCGGGGTGCGGGATGTGGAGGCGGAGACGGGGGGCGCGCCCCCGAGAGCAGGGGGAGGGGCAGGCTCGTGCCCGATGCGCGCCCCCTGAGACACCCAAGGGCTGCCCCCTGCCCACCGCGGGGTCCCCAAGCACGGGGAGCACGACACCCCCCTGCGAGCGGTGAGTGGGGGCAGCTCCCGCCGCCCCTCTGGCCCCCAGACCCCTCTTCGTCTCCAGGTCTTCCTTCCAGCCCCTGCTTGGCCCGGTGGTCCCCGCTTTGCCTTTGTGGGCAGCCCGGGCAGCCTTGGGGGTCACGCACCAGGGCGGGGCCCGGCCATTGGTGAGCCTGGGATGTCGCTGGGCTCTTTTGGGGTCCTCTCCCCCGTTCTGTGGTAGGGGGCACAAGGGCCCTGCAGGGGGAGGGGGAGGAGCGTCTCGAGGCGCCCGGAGCTCGCATCCAGGACCTTCCTGAGCTGGACAGCCGCTGGCCCATCCCAGAGTCTGCCCCTGGCCCGAGCTCATGAGTCACACCTTGTCCAGTTCGGCGGTACAAACCGCCTTGTGCAGTCGGGCGTCAGGAAGGCCAGGAGGAGGTGAGCTCATGACTGACCAGGCCTTTGGCTCTGGAAGAAGGTGTCCCTACTTGGGGAAGTCAGGACTGGCTGGGGGCATTGGTAAAGCACCCACTATATGCCAGGCACGGTGACAGAGGGGCCAGCGTGGGGACCACTGTGGACATAGGAGATCCCTCCAGGATGGGCTGGGGGGACCAGGAAAGGCCCCTGCCCGCGGGGGGGGGAGTCAGAAAACGTCTGGCCCAAGTCTGGCTCCCGAAGGCCTGGAAGGCCTGGCCAGTCCTGAACAGCAGCCAGCAGCAGGCGGGCCCTGACAAATGCTGGAGGGCCTCTTAGTGGCAGCCCTGCCTAAGGCCCGAGGCTGGACATCCCAGGGCTGCAGTGCCTGATGTGGCCCCCAGGGCTCCCAGACCTTCACTCTTTCCCTTCATGGAACACTCCGCCCACCCGGGCCGCAAAGGGCATAACTGAGGAGAGGGAGGAGAGGAGGCTGCCTGGGGCTGAGTCAGAAATCTGGAATGGCAGCTGATCTCCAGCCCTTTGCTGACAATGAGTCACCATTTCCTGGTTTCCTTCCTTCCATGACTTACTTGTAGCAGCCTGTTCCCGTCCCATTCCTCAGCCTAGCTGAGGGGCAGATGGTCAAGAGGGGATGCTGTATGCCCCCCCCCTCCCTCCTTTCCTGCAAGGCTTCAAGACCAGATCAGAAAACATTCCTGCCCAACAGCCCATGGTGAAGCTCTCACCGGACTAGAATTGGTATCCTGTTGTCTGGGGCCTCGGGCACAGACAAGGGAGAGGAAACATTTATTAAGCACCAACTGAATGCCAGGCACTGTACTGAGGGCCAGCACCGGGAAAACACAGCCCGTGCCCTCCAGGGGCTCACCCCCACACAGATGGCTGACAGTCAGCCGTGGGAGGGCGGTGGAATTCAGGGGGACGGGATGGGCTTTCTGGGGACCCGGGGTGCACACGGAACCGAGAGGGCTGTGCCAGCAGTTTAAAAAGGAGAAGGAGGCGGATGGTGGGGTGGATGTGGGAATGAGTGAGAGTGTGTGTCTGTGTGCGTGTGGGAGTGTGTGCTGCAGTGGGTATTGGTGTGTGAGTGTGTGTGTTGGGGGGGAGGGTGTGGCTCCCAGCACTCGGAGATGTTCCAGGTGGACAGGCCTCAGTGGGATGTTGCTGAAGCCTGGCTTCCCGAGAAGAGAAGACATTTGTCCGAGCGTCCGTCCATCTATCCGTCTGTCCTTCTGCTGCCTGCTCCGTCCGTCCGTTGGGGCCCCGTACGGGCTCTTTCCCTGCTGCTGTAGCCAAGGCAGATTTGGAAGCAGGTGTTGGCAGTGGTGACTCAGCGGGGACCCCAGGGCGTTTGGGGGCCGATGATGCAGGGCTTTCCCTGGCACGCGTCCTTGGAGCAGGAGTGCACCCCCTCATGCAGTTATGATAGGAGTGAGGCCCAGGGGGACCCCGGCCTGTCCCCTTCCCTGTCCCCGTCAGCAGAGGCCGCCTGCGACGCAGCAGAATCCATTCAGGGTGTGTAGCCCCTGCGTGTTGGGGGACTGGGCACAGCCCTGGCTCAGTTCCACAAGCTTCTGTCTCCTCGGGCCCCTGCCCCAGGCGGGCTTCTCGTCTCTGGCTGTGCCAGCTTGTGCTGGGGGGTAGGGGGGCACTCTGTCCTCTCGAGGATGGACAACACGGGCAGGGATGATTGCTCCCGGTCCTAGCAAGGTGCCATCGGCCTCCTTACCTTCTGACAGAGACACCGATGCCAAAGGCCGGGGGCTGCTCACACAGGCAGGGAGTGAGCCCAGGGCCTGCGGGTCCAGAGCTAGGCTCTCTCCACTGGACGGGGCAGCGGGCCTGGCTGCGTGGTTTTTCATTCTAGGCCTCTCCTGTCTCTAAAGCTAATGTTTGACGTGCCTGTAACCTTTCTCTCTCGGACACAGGCAGGAAAAATGATTTCTCTGTGGGGTGCCCCAAAGCCCTCTAGGTCTTTAGTGGGAAGAGGCAGCCAGCGGGCTTAGGGCCAGAGAGCAGCCTGTGGCATCCGCGAGGCTGGGAGGGAGGAACCTCAGAAACTGTCTGGTACCACCATCATCATGAGACCTTGAGAGCCAGGGCTCAGACTTGCTCAAGATCCTATGGGGGGAGCTAGCGACCCATGACAGGGCAGATCTGTGCCTCAGCTTCCTCATCTGTGAAAGGGGATCATAACAGCCCCTTCCTCCCTCCCAGGGTGCTTGAGAGAAACCAAAGAGATAACAGATGTAAAGTGCTTAGCACAGCCTGGCACAGCCAGGTGCTTAAGAAGTCCTCCCTCCTTCCCTCCCACCTTCCTTCCCTCCTTTTCCTTTTTTCCTCTTTTCCTCCCTTCTTCCCTCCCTCCCTCCAGGTCCTGAAAGGCCTCAACAACCCCAGAGTGTGGTTTGGGGTGGGGATGGGGAACTGTCCGGCTCTTTGTATTGATTCCCATGAATGGGGAGCAAGCCAAGGTGTGGTGAGAGGTAGGTTTTCAGAGTGGCCACACCTTCATTGTTGAAAGGGAGAGCTTTTTTGGGGGTGGTTAAGAAACAGAGTCACAGAAAAGCAGGGAAAGGGTGTCCAGAAGACAAGAAAAAGAAATGTGAAGAACAGTGGAGAAGAGGACAGATGAGACAGTTTAGTGAGAGGGGGCAGAGCCAGGAACAGATGAGGGGGAAGCCCCAGGGTGTGCCTGGGTGGGCAGGAGCAGAGCCACTCCCCCCAGCTCAGATTGGGGGACCTTCCCTGGGGGGGGGCAGCCGTGGCCCGGGCCCTTGGTGATTCAGAAGCCAGATCCTTGCCCACCCCATGCGCACTCCCACAGGAGAGGGCAGGGCAGCTGGCAGGGATGATTTGGGGTCTGAAGACTTTCAGCTAAAAGCTTTTGAATCCAAACCGTTGCTTTCCCTCTTGGACGTGTGGAGAGCCCGGCAGGCAGGACCACAAGGGCCCGCATGCCTCCCATCATCCCTGCAAAGACAACTTTGGCCGCTAACTGGTTTTCCTCCCTTTTTTCTAAGTAGCAAAGAGTAGAAATTCATAAACTGCGGCAAGGTGAAAACCTGATTCTTGGATTCAGCATCGGAGGGGGCATTGACCAGGACCCTGCACAGAACCCCTTCTCAGAAGATAAGACAGACAAGGTGAGGGCGGCCGCCTGTAGGGGACAAGGAGGGCCCACGCTCTGCAGACGGGCCCCAGACATCCATCTACTGGGCAAGTCTCCACGGGCTTGGTTCCTACCCTGTGTTCCTGATCAGGCCTGAAATCCATTGGGGTTCCCTGGCTCTAGAAGGGGTTCTGTGCCTTCCTGGGCCAGGAGCGGGGTGAAGGGGGGACCCTGCCTCTGTATGGTCCTGCAATGACGCTGTCCCCCTCACAGGGCATTTATGTCACCAGGGTGTCAGAAGGGGGCCCTGCAGAGGTGGCCGGCCTCCAGATCGGAGACAAGATAATGCAGGTGAGGAGGGTGTGAGGGAGGGAAGGTTAGTCATCTCTGGATCCCTGGCCATGAGCAGTGGTCCATGGGCTCACTCCAGACTCACCCCTCCTAACATTGGGTGGTCCCCGCTAAATGCATCAGCCCAGCTTGGATCCCAAGGACCTTGCAGGTGTGGGAGGGTGGCGCTGTTGTGATCCTCATTTTATGGTTGAACAAACTGAGGCAGGCAGTGGTGAAATGACTTGCCCAGGGACACACAGCTAGTCAGTGTCTGAAACTGGATTTGAACTCAGGTCATCCTGACCCCAGGTCCAGCGTTCTGTGCACACTGCCATTTCTCAAGGGCCTATACTGTACCAGGCCCTGTCCTCAGGGCCAGTGTGCATCCCACAGGGAGAAAGTCACTCTTCCTCTGACGCTTCCATGGCTCCCCAGACCCTTCCATGCCTCTCCCAAAGTGGTCCTGGTGTGGGGCCCTCCTGGGCCTCCCCAGTGCGGCTGGGCCGAGCCCCTTCTCCTGACTATCTCTGCAGTCCTGTCTCCTGAGCGCAGGCACATACCCCCAGCGCCCCAAACGCAGCTTGCCCCAGGTGGGCTCCTCGGCTTGTCTTCACAGCCCCCCTTGGCCTCCCTGTCTCCTCCCTCTCAGCTCAGCCAACATCTTCCTCTGCACCCCTCTCACTGAGTGCTGGCAGCAAATGTCTTTCCAGCTCCACTCACCCACCAGATCGAAATGGTTAAAACCGTTAGCCATGTCCGTGACCCCGTCTTCCGTGGCACCTTCCTGCCTCATGGCAAAAAGGCAGACTTGTACTTTCTTTTCTAAATGGTTCTGACCCTGTTTCCCCTGAGGCTGCGTGGCACTCAGTGCTGGGCAGGCAGGCTGGCCTCAGGCCACGGACATTAGACCCTGGGCCTCCACGGAAGAGATTGAGCCAAACTGAATCGAAAGTTGTTTGTCCCATAGCATGTGGCACCCTAGTTCTGAACTCCATCCTCTTGGTCCTGGGGGGGGGGGGGGGGGGAAGTGCCACCTGGGGACTGACCTCAGCAGGCTGGCTGGTCCCTGGGGGGGCCCTCCCTAGCTCAGGCATCTTCACAACGTTTTCCAGGAGCCTCCCTGAGCCGCCCTATGGGCCCCTGAGGGAGGTCGTTCTCAGTCTGTTGAGGGCTGCGGTGGTGGGAGTCCTCTCAGGCCCGGGAGGATCCTGAAAGCTCTGCCGGGACAGCAGGGAATGCCCTGGACACAGCGTGTCCAGGTGGGCTGGACCAAGGCCTCGGGGTGCCCCCCAGGTGGGCATCCTGGGCCATGAGAAGGGCTAGAGCAAGTCTGTGGTTCACAGGTGAACGGCTGGGACATGACCATGGTGACACATGACCAAGCCAGGAAAAGACTGACCAAGAGGAGCGAGGAGGTGGTGCGGCTGCTGGTCACGCGGCAGGGTCTGCAGAAGGCAGTGCAGCAGTCCATGCTGGCGTAGGGCCTCCCTCCGCGCGGGTGGGGCACGTCCCCAATCCCCTGAGCCCTGGGGAGATGTGGGTGGAGGACAGAGGCTGGAACTCAAAGACCCAGAGCCACGCAGGGGGCAGCTTGGTGCCCAGTAAAGCCTGTATTTTGGGGAGTCCTGGCATCAATGCAGTAAGCCAAAGAAGAGAGTCAGGGTGAGTCGGGGGCAGGGCCTGGGCTCCCATCCCTCTTCACCTTGGCCACATGGACTGACACGGACCGTTGCAGCTGTACTCCATCGATGTCGCTAAGGCCTCCCTGCAGCGTTGGTGTGGCTTGCCCCAGCCTGCCTGGGCTCACCTCCAGGACTGTTCTTGGGGCGAGGCCCAGGACCCTGGGGCTGCCCTCAGCACTGGGCTTTGCCCTATCCCAGCACCTCTCCTTGAGCAGGGTTCCCCTTCCCCACCGAGGGACGCAGTGGGACTTTTCCCAAGGTTAGGCACCCAGACTGTGGAGGGGGGGCAGCGCCTGCCAGCCCACCACCTCCAGCCTTTGACCCCTTCCCTAGAGATTTCAGGAGTCTCCAGACAGCATCCCTGTCCTTGCCCTGCCCCCTCACCCCCCCACCCCCGGCCTGTGAAGCTGCCACTCCTGGGATGACGGGTCCCTTTTGTATTTTTCCTTAAAATTTTATATGTAGCAATTTCTATCGAATTTTGAAAATGCTAACCTGGTAGGAATAAATCTTTTAACCAGCCCACAGGCCTTATCTTTGTTACTATCTCTTATATCGTTCGCTTCTTATACTCAATAAATGAAGCTAGAATTCCTGTATTTTTCCTCATTCACAAGTGAGACATTTTTTATCTGACATCAGGGTTTGGGGTGCTGCTGGGGTTGGACAAGCCGGGGAGAGAAAATGGTCAGAGCCGCGGCCTCAAGGCCTGGGTTCCTGCCGTGTGCCGGGTGAAATCAGAATCTTAAAACTGGAAATCACAAAAAAACCTTCGTCCAGAGCAGGTGACCCAATTCTGATGAGGAGAGCTTAGTAATCTGTTTTCTTTTTTAACAAAGTGGCCACCGCGGAGGTCTCTGCTAGGGGCGCGTGGGACTTTCTTCACCTGTTAATGGGGGTGGGGAGCAAAGGGTCCAGATGCTGGTGACAAGGGTTAATCAGACTGTTAAAACGAGGTCATTGGGCAATAGTATGGAAAATTAACTGTTAGTTTTAATTTAAAACTCTCGATTTCTTACATTGATCTTTTAAAAATAAAATACATAGGAAGTAGAAAAAAATCATGTCCACAAACCACCACCATCATTGCAGGGCTTCCTGGAGCAGAAGCAGGAGAGGGGTGGGGGGAGACCGCAGAGAGCCTTGGAGGCCTGGGGCTGGTGGCTGCCCAGGGCCCAGGAAGGATACAGCCCCACACCCACATAGAGCAGGAAGGACAGAGGGGTAGGCAGGCAGGGAATAGAGGGGTAGGCAGGCAGGGAATGGAGGGGTAGGCAGGAGGGGAAGGGAGGGGAGGCTCATGGGCTGGATGGGGGTGTGTACATGGTATGTGGATGTCTGTGTGTGCATGTGTCGTGTGTGTGTGTGTGTGGTGTGCATGCGTGTGTCTGTGGAGCCCGAGGTTCCCCACCCCTCAAAAAACCTGCTTTTGGGAGTGTGGTCATGGGGAGGCAGCTGAGTAAAGCTCGGTAAGACCGCCCCCTCCCCCCAAAAAGCTGCGGGACTGTGCCTCAGGCCAGGCCCCGCATGGTTAGCAGCTTCCGGGCAGGGGCCAGCAGGGGCCTGGGTCAGGGAACCTGAGGAAACAGCGTCGGCATGCACGCTAGGAAGGAGCGGGGCCCTTCCTGGCAGAAGCCTCGGGCTGGGATGCTTGGACAGAGCAGCAACAGACAGACAGACAGCAGGCGCCAGGATGGCTGTGCTCCCTGTTCCCTCCTCCCTCCTCTGGCACGATGCTACTAGAGACGCGCCTCAGAACCTGTGAAGGGTGGCAGGAGCCTTGAAGACACAAAACAGAAAGAAAGACACTCCTGAGCACCAGGGAAGTGGCGGCATCCTGGGAGAAAGCGGCCTCTGCGCCGGCCGCTGGGAGGAGCCGGGAGGCCTGGGGGGAGGAGGGACCCCAGACAGACACCAATCCCGTCCTCCTGGGCGCACACGTCTCGAGCCAGATCAGTGGGTTTTAATCTCAGCGGACAATTGGCTTAAGACGTGAGAGTGGGGCCGAGGCCCCCCGCGAGCCAGCAAGTAAGCGAGCGTGTCCGGCAGGCAGAGGCAGGATCGCCATCCGTCAGGGCCGTGGCTCGGATGATGAGGTTCCCGCTATCCGGACAGCAGAGCCGACAAAGGACCGGCCGTGGCTCCTCAGCCTACGGGATTGGTGGGGCTGTCCGACAGAGCTAGGTGAGCTGCTCGTACCCTGGCTGTCTATATAAGCAGTAGTGCTGGATGATGAAAATGATGTCAAAGATGATGGAGAACATTCCGAGGCCAAACTTGGTGGGGTCTCCAAAGATCAGGGTCCACTCATCTGTGACCAGGCAAGAGAAGGCACTCACGTGAGCCCCAGGGGAGCCCTCCTTCCCTCGGCCCAGCCGCGGCCAGCAGGCAGGGAGACTTGAGTTCAAATCTAATCGCAGACACTGCCTAGCTGGGTGACCCTGGGCAAGTCACTGAAGCTGTCTGCTTCAGTCTCCTCATCTGTAAAACTGGGATAGAATAACCATACCCACCACCTCCTAGGGGTGTCGTGAGGATCCAATGAGGTCATACTTGTAAAGAAAGCAGCCCCAGGCCCAGCACACAGTAGGTGCCTAATAGGCACCAGCAGTCATTATTTTCTTCCCAAAGGGTAGTCAGAGCCTCCATGATGGCCACCTGCCGGGCCACTCTTGGGGGACAAGGGCATGAGTGAGGCCCAGAGACTCCGGCCTCTGTCCGGAGGAGGGCCTGGTACGTGAGGGCCTCGGGCCGGGTCAGGCCCTCCTCCCAGCCCCGCTCCAGCCTCCTCCGAAGCTGCAGGAGAGCAGGGACCACTGTGTATTTAGGGCATTTGTGTCTAGGGCGCTGAGGGTCCTTCACTTTTAATCTGAGGATTTCCCTGCTTCTCTTTTCAGCATGGTTACTATGGGGCCGCGTGGTGCACGACTCACAGAACTGACCTACCGCTTGCCTTCCCAAGGTGGGGGAGGGGGAAATTTGGAACTCAGAATTTTTTTAAAATGTTAAAGATAATTAAAAGGGGAAAAAAAAACCACTGAAGGCACCGCTGGTGCCCGCCCTGCCCCTGAGGCTGCTCCTGGCCTCCGGCTCCCCCAGCCCAGAGCCGCAGCTGGGCGCCAGGCCACTCACCGTTGTTGTAGGACTGGATGAACATTTGGAGAAGGCTGAAGAAGCCTCCCGTGAAATCCAGGAGCACGTTGCCAATGCTCCAGCCCTCCGTGCTCTTCCGGCGAAAGTTCAGGCACGCCTGAGACGCGGACGGATGGACAGAGGCACAGAGAGGGTGAGCAGGCCGGCCCCTCCCCGCCCAGCAGCCCCTGGCCCTCCCAGGGGTGGGCTTTCCCACTTGGCACACGTCCACGAAGACTGCACAGGTCCAAAGCCTCCCCACCAACGCACACGGGCACGCTTTCTGAATTCCCGTGACTTCTGCTGGTGTGGTCTCGAAGGCCCCCAGGCTGTCCATTCCTTCCTCCCCGGGCCATGAGCGTCCCCTGCCCTCAGGCTGCTCTCCTCCTGCCACCAGCTCCTCTGTCCCCCCCGCCACCCCCTGCGTCCTGGCCACTTTGAGGACCGGGCCCTACCTGTGGAAAGTACTTGATCAGCGTGACCGCGAGTTTGATGTAGGAGAAACAGAAGAGGAACTGCAACCAGCTGATGGCCCCCGCAACGGCCACGAGCATCATGACAAGGGCAAAGAGCCAGGACAGCACCAGAAAGCCCGTGGAGGCCCGGGACACTGTCTGGTCGCCTCTCTGAGGGGATAGAGCGGGGCGCTGCTGAGCGGGGATGCCAAGAGGCCCCCACGCGTCAGGAGGCGGGAGGGACCTGAGCCTCGCACAGAAGAGACGGGCTCAGCTGGGAACCAGGCACGCGGGGGAGCCCGACCTCACCCCTTGTCTCTGTTTCCTCAGCCCGACCCGTGCCAAACACTGTAGCTGGGGGCCTGGAAATCCCCAGAGGGGGCGGCCCCTCAGACAGCCTCTCCTGTCGCCAAAGAGCCGCGCCTGCCGGGAGTCCCCGCCAACCAACCCACCCAGCGCCCAGCCAGACGAGGCACACACCAATCCCCCAGTGAACTCCTGAGGGCACAACGACCCTGGGTGTGCCCAGCTAAGGGCCTCGCCCCGCCGCTCCTGTCCTGGGGCCATGACTTCTGTTTCTGAGGCAGGCCACGCTAGGGAGACCCTCCCCTCACGGCGGCGACCCCTCACCCACCTCGTACAGACAACACTGCCCGATGACCACCAGGGTGAGGACCACAGCGTGAAGGCTGAAGAAGACGTCATTGCTGTCCACGGGGTTCACGCCAGTGGGGTGTTCGTGGAGAAACTGCTCCTGGGGGGCCGGAGCAGAGAAGCCGTGAGCCGTGGGGCAGTGCTGACTAGCGGCACCCAGGGAGGGAGGAGCTCACACCTCACCTTGATGGAAGGCACCCAAAAGAGGCCGACGTTGAACACGGCGTACGCTACGAAGCCCGTGAGGTTCAGGGCGATGAAGTCAAAGCTCAGGCCGACCACGCTGCGATATGATGAGCAGAGAACCTCACAACCGGAGCCTGGGGAGCCTCAGCCGCCCCTCCCCTCCACGCACCCAGAGAACGCTCCCCACTTCTGCTTAAGAAACCCGGGAAGACCCCCTCTGTGGAAGTGCCCGATGGGGAGAACCTGACCCAGGATCAGGACAGGCTGGGGGACGGCGGCCAAGACTGCAGGAGTCAGCCCCACTCCCCTCATGGGCTGTGTGAGCCATGGGCCAGCGGTCACTGGTGAGAAGCAGCCCCTCCCCCCACCGCCCTGCTGCAGGGCCACGCAGGGAGGCCAGCCACCTTCTCTCGGACCCCGAGATGAAGGGACCTTCTGTAGGGTCCCCCGAGATGCAGGGACCTTCTCTAAGGGCCCCCCCGAGATGCAGGGACCTTCTGTAGGGGTCCCCCCGAGATGCAGGGACCTTCTGTAGAGGTCCCCCCAAGATGCAGGGACCTTCTGTAGGGCCCCCCGAGATGCAGGGACTTTATGTAGGGCCCCCTGAGATGCAGGGACCTTCTGTAGGGCCCCCTGAGATACAGGGACCTTCTCCAGGCCCCCCAGACTCAGGACCTTCTCTAGGGGCCCCCCGAGGCTCAGGACCTTCCCCCCCCCCCCCCCCCCCCCCCGAGGCTCAAGACATTCTCCCTGCCCCCTCAGGCTCAGGACCTTCTCCAAGCCCCCCCAGGCTCGGGACCTTCTCTAGCCCTCCTCAGGCTCAGGACCTTCTCTAGCCCTCCTCAGGCTCAGGACCTTCTCCAAGCCCCCCCCAGGCTCAGGACCTTCTCTAGCCCTCCCCAGGCTCAGGACCTTCTCTAGCCCCGCCCCAGACTCAGGACCTTCTCCACAGCCTCCCCAGGCTCAAGACTTTCTCTTGGGTCCCCCTCCCCAAGCTTGGGGATCCCTCCTTCCAACATGGCAGCAGGGGTGTGTGTGTGCATGTGAGTGCTTTGGTGGGCACTGCTCCCTTCTTCCTTTGGTGACTGTATAAGCCAGTCTCTAAAAGATTACATTACATGGTAGAGCACTGGCTCTCCCCGCTGACCTCTCAGGCCTCCCTGACATGGAGGGGGTTGGCCATTTCTCCCACCTTTCCCTCAGGACGCCTGCTGCCAGCTGGGGGCTGATAATAGAACCCCGATGGGTGGCAGACAGCATGATCGGACTGTCCAGGCGAGCCCTTGCGCAGCACTGTTCGAGGCCCAGGCCATGGCACCTGGCCGCCCACCTGCCTGCCTGCCCCAGCCAAGCTTTTAGGGCACAAACCGGGGTGAGCGCCTGGCTGGGGCCGGGAAGCCTGAGGCCCAACAGCCCCAGCAGGATGCCGCCTCCCTGGGCAGGGGCTTCCAGCCCCACTGCTCCACCATCAGCCTCTTGCAGGTTCAGCAAGGCCCCGCTCACTCGCTCAGACGCACCAGGCTGCCCCTCCTCCTGGGGAGATGAGGCCAGTGGCCCCCACCCCCCTTTACCTCTTGCGTCTCCAGTTTTCAAACACCTGCGGGTAGAACGAGACAGACCAGGCAACAAAGTAGATCCATCCAATGACCTGGTTAAGCCACTCCAGAACGCAGCTGCGGAACACCAGGAAGTGGACGGCTGTCCTGCGCAGGAATCAGGATGCAGCAGTGAGGGGGTGAGGCTGGGCGGCTTCTCTGCCCACCCCGCCTGGCCTGGCTCTGGCCCCGCTCACCTGGTCTGGTTGGAGCAGTTCAAGCTCAGACCCAGAGTCACTTGGCCCACATCTCGCCCGGTCACAGAGAAGAAGGAAGACTTCTGCCCCGCCAGCACCATGACCTGTGAGAGACAGCAGAGACCCCTGCCCACGCGGCACTGCGCAGAGCGAGGGAGCCCCCGTTCCCCGGCCTTGAGGGAGGGGCTCCCAGGAACCCTCCCCCCACGGGGCCAACGAGACGCTTACTTCATCAGGAAACTCGAGGATGGTTTTGTTTTTGGAAACATAGAGGACGTCCAGCGTTACCACCGAGGTGACGTCCAGAGGAGCCCTGGGAAGGACGAGAACGAGGTCACCTCTGGAACCTCAGGAGGTGGGGAGCGAGGGAGGGAGGTTAGGGCTAGTCAAGTCAGGCAGGAGGAGGAGGGAGCCCTCTTGCCCCCACCCCAGGGTGTGGGGGGAGCCTGGGTGTAGAGAGGCGTGGCACAGGAGGATGGGCGGGGGGCACAGCTGGGGTGCTTATGGGGAAGACAGAGCCAGCCTGACTGCTCGGAGGGCCCAGGGTGGGCAATGATGGCCATGGCGTGGGGGGGGGGGGTCTCCCCAGCCAGCCCCTCCCCACCGGTCCAGCTTGGCTCCCCCCACCCCCTCCAAGTTCAAAGTCCTCTGCTGCAGCCCTGACGAAGCTCACACCTTGCTCTGAGACGGTTTCCAGGCTCTCCCACACTGACCTGTCTGTGGGGGGGGGGGACACAGGACACAAATGTGTGAGGGGGTAGAGGTGGGGCATGACAGGGCAAAGGTTAAGAGCTGCCGGTCCAGGGGTCTGTGCAAGGGGCAGGTGAGGCCTGGGGGGAGGGGGGGGGGCCAAGAGGAAGACCTGCTCCCTCCCTGCCCCCACCCAACCCTTGGACAACATGTGGGCCCACACGGCCATAGCGTCCTGGCCCACTCCCTTACACACTCACACTGCGCCTCCATACACACCTATCCTCACACACTCATGCTCCACACACACTGACACCCCCAACAATATACAAGGCTTACACACCTCTACGTACTCACACCCACACACACACTCACAATTCTCACACAGACACTCACAATTCTCACCCACACACACTCACAATTCTCACACAGACACTCACAATTCTCACACACACACATACTCACAATTCTCACACACACACACACACACACACTCACAATTCACACACACACCCCCTCTCTCCACCAGGCCCTGAGGAGCAGGGTCCTAGCAGGGGCTGACATACTCACCCCAGCGTGATGGTGACATTTCTGGAGTCACCATTCTCAAGTTTCACCATCAGAGGGGCGGTGAGGCTCACAGTGGCGCCTGATGGGAGCAGATAAGCAGAGATTACAACTCCAAGCCAGGCCAGCCTCAGGCTGCATGGGGAGTGGGGGGGACCAGGGAGGAAGGACAGCGTCTGCCCGGCCCGCCAAGGCTCGATCACAGGAAGAGCCAGCTGGCCCCAAAAGGTCACCCTCGGGGCTGCCAGGGCCTAGGGAGGCGACCCTCTGCTCTGGGCCGGCCAGGATCCACTGCCTGACCATGTGACCGCTCTGTGGTGGGGGGGGGGGCCCTCCAGAACTGCCGACTGGCCCATTTTCTGGCCTTCCTTAGCAGAGCAGCTCACAAGCCAATGCAGAGAAGCAGAAGTGCTGGAGAAGCGTTCCCCCCCCCAAGGCTCACCCCCTTCCTCCCAAGTGACCCATGTTCTAGCGTCACCGCCTCTGCCCCCCCTACTTTGGGAGCTCGGCCCAAACAAAGCCCTTTTTGGATGACGCCCCAAATGGTCACTGTGAGCCCGCTCCCCCAGCCCACCTTAGGGGGCTGGCCCCTGCATTCTCTGCAGAAAGTTCTTGGTCAGTGTCCCCAGAAGAGGCCGCTCTCCCCTGCTGTCCAGACAAGCGTCTGGTAGTGGGGCGGCCCCTCAGCTCTCTGCCCGGGGTTTTCCTGCATGGCCTGAGTGACCGTGCCGTTCACAGACAGAAGCCTCTGCCTGGACAACCTTCATCATGTCTCCATACTCCCCTCCTCCTATCACGTGGACCAGGGTGGACGGGGACCTGCCGGGTTCTGGTGTGTGCGTCCCCACCCACCCTGGACGGCTCGGGGGCCAAGGGGCCAGGCACCATAACCCCCGACCCAATGACCCCCTGCCAGTTACATCCTCAAAATGCACCCAGGAAAAGGGGGGGGGGAGAAGCTCAATGCTGCGTTGGTGGAAGAACAGCTCAGATAACTGGGTACCGGTGCGGGGGTCAGCAAGAAGGCGCCTGGACTTAAGAGGTGCCCTCCGACAACCTGGGGTCCCCCGGACTCAGGGCTGGGGCGCTTCGACCCCTCCTGCCGACTGAGGGGAGCCCCCGGCCACTCACCACACACTCGCGTGAGCTCGGTCGCCAAGAGGAGCCACCACGACCATGACCACCTGGGCATGTTCTGGCCTAGAGGAGGGAATGTAAGGAGTCAGGGAGCCCCGACAATAGAAGCAAGACCCCCTCGTAAGGGGAGGTCTGGGGTTGTCCCCCCCCAGAGCCCCCTCCCTTATAAGGGGGATCCAGGGTTGTTAACCCCCCAGAGCCCCTTCCCTTACAAGGGGGATCCAGGGTTGTTAACCCCCCAGGACCCCCTCCCTTATAAGGGGGGGGGTCTCCAGGTTGCCACTCCCTCCCCACCTTCTCTGTACTGGGTTCCTTGCCACCCCCCCCAGCCCCTTCCTCTATAAGGGCTAGCTCCCAGGTCTTAAGAACCACCAGGGGAATGGGCTGGGCTGGGCTGGGGGGTTCTTGGGCTGCAGCTGCGTTCCAAGTACCACCGGGCCAGTGAGGAGCAAACATCTGGAGGCTGGAGATGGAGACAGAGGCCCGCCTGCCTCTCTCCCCCACCGCATTCAGGCGCTGGTCCCCACACCAGGCTAGAGGCCGGCCCGACGCCAGGCACTCCATCCCCTCTCCCT